CTTTGTAATAATTTTGGCATCAATGTTTCTGCTCAGCCGGTCAAGCATTCAGAAGGACCCAGGCTCAATCCCCAAACATCTCAAGTATGGTCTGAGAGAGACTTCATCTCTGCCTGTTCAGTGTAGACAACCACAAAGTAATAGTCCAATGACTTGACTCCTGTATAAGGCAGCTTCCTGTGGTGTTTCTAGCCCTCATGGACACAAAGACAAACAATCTATCAGTACTTAAGTAAGGGATAACCATTTTAGAATAGTTAAAATATTCTATTTTAGAATATAGTAGTAGTAGTAGTAGTATAATAATAATAATAATAATATAATAATAATAATAATAATAATAATAAATTTATTGTTCATTACCCCCTCTCGGGACAACGAAATTACTTACTGCTCCATAAAAACACTAATTAAAACAATACCAATATAGTACAGTACAGCAAGGGAAGATTAGAAAACTTTCAAATGTCCCAGGCTTCCCATTCAGGCCGAGATCGCTCTGGAGAAGAAGCTGTTCTTAAGACGGCTCGTTCTTGTCTTCATCATCCTGTATCTCTGTCCCGACGGCAGGAGCTCGAAGAGACAGTGACCAGGATGCGATGGATCTTTTTACTATGTCCAGTGGCCTTTCCTATGGCACCTTGTGGCATAAATCTGCTCTAAGGTGGAGAGTGGGCAGGCCAACAATGCTCTCTGCTGCCTTAACACTCTGCACAACCCCATCCTGTCCTGGGTAGTACAGCTTCCGTACCACACACATAAGCCATAAGTGAGCACGCTCTCAATGGCACAGTGATAGAAGGCAAGCAGCAGTTTCTGCGGAAGATGGTTTTTCCTTAGAATTCTCAAAAAGTACAGTCTCTGCTGCGCCTTCTTCACAAGCCCCCTTGTGTTGACACTCCAGGACAGATCCTGTTAATAGTTTTACCAAAGTAAAGCCACAATTATGAACTCCCTAACAAATACCAAAAATACACTAATATGTCATACATTAAAAACTTCCCTGAACTCCTAAGTAGCAGGTTTGTGAGAGTAAACACTCTTAGTAGCTAGTAACCCTTGTGCTGTAGTCATACAAACTGGATGAGTCCTAGTCCTTACTACCCTCCCATAATTTCATGGACAGCCACATACCTTTGCTGTTTTGGCATAGTATAGAGTTCGTCCTCGCAATTTGAAGTAACGTCTCTTCCAGCGCTGAAATGAGCTGGTCTGTTTCATCAGCATGCCCTCTTTTATAATAGTCTAGAAGTCAAGAAAATATCAAGTCATAGAATCAAAGAATTGTAGAGTTAGAAGGGACCCCAAGGGTCATCATCTTGTCCAACTCCCTGACAAGTAGGGATCTCAAGCAAAGCATCCAGGACATAGGGCCAGCCAACCTCTGCCTAAAAACCTCTAATGAAAGAGAGTCTACCATCTTACAAGGGAGTCCATTCCACTGCTGAACAGATCTTACCGTCAGAAGGTTCTTCCTGATGTTTAGTTGGAACCCCCTTTCTTGTAACTTGAATCCACTGGTTTGGGTCCTAGCCTCTGGAGCAGGAGAAAACAAGCTTGCTCCATCTGCCATGTGAGAGCCCTTTAGATATGTGAAGATGGATATCTATCTCCTATCAGTCTCCTCTTTTCCAGGCTACCCAGCTCCCTCAACTGTTCCTCATAGGGCTTAGTTTCCAGACCTTTGATCACCTTGGTCACCCTCCTCTGCACTCATGAAGCATTTCTTTATGAACAGCCAATTTTTCTGATTTTACCCCTCCCCAACCACAAAAAGAAGGAAAGTACTGGCTTTGATATCAATATTCTTTATTGTTTGACTGCCCTCTGCTGGAAATATCCAACACATTCATAAAACTGAGCTGCTGATCTTATCTATACCCAAGTGCAATAAACAACAGTCAAACACACAGTGCAGAGATTCCTTTCCTGTGTGAGAGAGATATTATCTTGGTGTGAGAAGGATACAATTCTTCAAACTAGTCAAGGTGATCTTATCAAGCTTTGATGAAGATACAGCAAACATTTTAAGAAAAACCTCAGTGTCTGAAGTCAGAGCTCTGTCCTGTCCAATTATGGCTCTGATCTCACCTGTTTGACTAAAGTGAGCACACAGGAGCCTGTCTCCTGTAAAGCTATCAGCATCTGACTACCACAGGTAACGGTCTGCATATTTAAGGGAGTGTGGAGGGCAGTAATAAAAAGACAGGAATAATCCTTCCAGCTTTTATATTTGGTATTTTTTTTCAGATACTCTTGGCTCTGACTCACTGCTTACTGGCTGGCTGCCTGCCATTTCCCAAGGCTAAAGTGCCAAGTCTGTCTACACACAGTTCTGGACATTTTCTCACTGCTCCACATCTAGCCCCACACACTATCATTCACATAATATGCATATCCAGGCTACAAGGCTATGTTTAGCTGACATTCATTTAGTTGCTCTTTATGATACACATTTGTTAACCCAGCTGAAGAACGTAATAAATACCAAAAGATACATTAAAATGCTACCAACACAGAATCTTAACAATAACTGAAGGACTACAAAACGAAAGCAAAGGTTAGAGCTTTAATTCACTACAAATACATAGCTCCTGCCAGTAGCAAGTGTCATAATATGGGGTTTTAATGCTCCATTTAATACGCCCCTTTTCCAAGGAAAGCACCATCTACAAGTACTTCAAGTAGTTCAATGTAGGAAAACATCATTAGGAGAAACTGCTGCAGGGATATCATAAAGCTGTCCGTTAGGTCGTTCTGTAACCAAAGGCTACAAAAGCAACATACTGTATATAGAGCACAGCAGTATTCTTAAATGTATTCACTGGAATTCACTGGAATACAGTGTATCTGAAGAAGTGTGCATGCACACGAAAGCTCATACCAAGAACTAACTTAGTTGGTCTTTAAGGTGCTACTGGAAGGAATTTTTTTTGTTTTGACTATGGCAGACCAACACAGCTACCTATCTGTCACTGGAAGCCAGTATGACAATCAAGATACAATAATAACCTTGTTATACAATCCCTACTAACTTAACATCCCACTTGAGTGATTTGAAAATTCTTCAAGAGATATTAAAAGCTGAAGTAGCTAAGTCTGCTGAAAAGTCAGATTGCCCCCCAAAACCTTTGTTAGTTACTTGTTAGAAATCAAAAGTCAAGTTTTTTCCAACTTGCAAAAGCTTTCCTTCCTAGCTGGTCAGAGGCAATTCCTGTTCACCACAGATTATTAGGCAAATGTCTATTTGCAATCATAGGATGTCTTAACTTAAAGTGCCTGCCCCCTCCCTAACACTTGCATTTATTTATGCTTTTTCATATTTTCCTTTGCCAAACTGCTGTTCATCAGCAAAATGCTATATGCCAAGAAATGTCATCTTGGCCTAGCATGGAACTTCTCTCTTCAAAATCAGAATGACCTGAACTATAAAGTGAAATTGCGAGAGAAATTTTTACTGTTTTCCTTTGACTTTCAGTGAGATTCAACAGATATACAGTGAGGAAATAGGAAAGGTTTGGTACAACACACTTACCACACACTTTACAGAGAAAAATACAAAACAATTTGCAGACAAGTAAATTCTGAAATAATATAGGAAGATAGAACCAATAATCTCTGGAGGATGGAATCACTCAATATTGGCACCTTGACTGTGGAATGCTCTCCTCTCACATATTTGACTAAGGTAAAGGTACCACACCAACCCAAATAGGTTTTCAGTGTCAGTTAACAACTCATTTATCCATCCAGCCTGTAGCTAAACTGGATTTGGAGCTGGGCAGCTTGCCCTCCTTGATTTACTGAACTACTGTTATTTCATTATAATGCTATACTTTTATAAAGCAATATCCAACTAAGTCATACTCAGAGCAGTTCTGCTGAAATCAATGGATTTAAGTTCACTGATTTCAGTGACTCTACTTTGAATGTAACTAATGTTAGATATCAATCCTTGTGTATTATGTATTTACTTTTATATTATAACCTGCTCTGGGATTATTTTAACAAAGAGTGGACAATATATTTTGTATAAATAAATAAAATCAATGGAGTCCTCAAAACGTTTTAGCATAATAATTGGGGTAAATAAATAAAGTGTATCAAAGCATGGTTTCCATACAGAAAGGTTCTGCCTCCATCCCCCACAGCCTCAGGAATTGATACTTCAGCACCTCGCAAAGCAGAAACCTGAAAATTGAAGAAGGAGGAGGAGGAGGAGGAGGAGTTTGGATTTGATACCCCACTTTATCACTATCCTAAGGAGTCTCAAAGGTGAGGTGAGTGAGGCTGAGAGACTTCAAAGACGTGTGACTAGCCCAAGGTCACCCAGCAGCTGCATGTGGAGGAGCAGGGAATCGAACCCAGTTCACCAGATTACGAGTCCACTGCTCTTAATCACTACACCACACTCAGCAAACTCATATTCCCACCTCCAGTAAAAACTGAAAGGGATCAGAAAGGATCATAAGTACCTCCCACAAGTCGGTCCACATAATGGCATGCCACAATCAAAGCTCAGGTGCTCTACAAAAAAAACCAGCTGCATATGACTCAAGCAAGGGAGCCAATTGATGCACTACAGGGAAGAAGCAGAAGAACAGCTGAGCTTAACCAAACGTAATTTTCCTATACCTGTCTCAAATCAGTCACAGCATGGCAGAGGAGTTTCACAAGAGCTCTACAATATCAAAGACGATAAATAAAATTAGGGAGAGTCCTAAGTGATCAAGAGAGTTTGTGCCTTCAAACTGCTACTCCTAGAAAGATAATGAGCTGAAAGTAAATGAAAGAACTGAAAAAGTGGCAGTGATGGACTCTACATCAAAGAATGAAAGTGATAGGCTACTGGAGGTGGAACTGCCATTTTGTGAGTTCCATGAGTTATCAGGTAAGTTACAGAGATACTACTATGGCAGGTTTGAACACATCTCCTAGTTCATACCCTACACCCATGAAAAAATGGATATCTTCCAGAAAAGAAAAAGAAAGTATTGGGCAGAAATCTTGAGAATTTTTATTGGTGAGATCCTGTGAATATGCGGCTTCGGGAAATTATGCAGAGTCCCAAACTTGGTCTGCAGAATAAGAAGATAAATGCCACTGAGGCTCTTAAAGAAACAACTGAAAATTATTATCCAATAGTCCAAAGACATAAAAACAGGCTAAATATAGGCAAGGTTTGTGTGGTAAACATGAATAATAGTTTGAAGAACTACTGGGAGTACAACTGAATGGTTCATGATTTGATGAACTAAAATAGAAACAAATATCAGCCCCCAAAGGGTAACAACAGATCCTAAATTATACAGTTTAGCTTGTTTTCTGGAACTTTCCTACCAACGCATCCTGATCAAAGAAATATTTCAGGTTCAACCAGCAGACTGCTGGTTTGATTTTGTATTTAATCAACCTGCAGGTTAAGCACAAGTTTGTAGGACTGATGCTCTGTACTCAATTCCCATTCTATTCTTTTTATTCATATATTTGTGAACTGATACCCCAACCCTGTTTCCAGTCTATTCAGGGACTGAATTCATACCTACAGAACAAACTCACCTGTGCAAATGATGAGCACTCCTCCATCTCTTTTAAAGAATGCTCTTTCAAAGAAAACAACACCACCCAAAAAGGCTGCCAACATTCTTGTCCCCCAAAGTAAACCAATGCATTTTCCTGCATTAGACTATCTACAGGAACCTCATAGGTACACGACTTAAACATGAAAGGCTAGCAAAAAAAAAACCCCTGACATAGTTGTTGGGCTGCCTCTCACACAACACAGATGCTGCTGGGGGAGAGAAAAAGCCTGTAGTTTACAGCTGCCCATCTCTGCAAGAGAGCTGCTGTTCTATTTATAGGCAGACAGCTTAGTAAAGACTTTGGTGGGTTTGGGCGGAAAGGGCTTGAGATAAGATCAAGATGACTTTATAGCATGTTTTCTTTTTCAAGCATTGCTGCTTTTCTTTGGCTTGATGTTCACTTCCCAGCTAGCATATTGCTCAGTCCTTCTGATACCGGTGAATGCTTCTGAGCAATGAGATCTGATGAAATGGTAACGGTTGAAAGCAACATGACATTTTCCTTATCCTCCCTTTACAATCCTTACAAGAACTTAGAATCTATCTTCAACATCTGGTCATGTATTATTACGTGAACAGTGATCCACAGCAAATGGATAAAGGGAGAAATCTTATTCTGCCTCCTCACTCAAAAATAAACTGTCTTATTATAGGAATTTATTC